ATTTTTATGTATGTCGAACTTCGTTTCGTTGTAAATGTTAGACATGCTATGTTATTGCCCATGTTAGGGTTAAATGTAAGGCCAGAGGCCTATTATGTAAACTACAGAAATTTACCTTGTGCATGTTGCTGGTTGGTTGATAAATGTGTTTTAACATATTGAATTTTTTTGGAAATGTCCGTTTTTCAAGGGAGATTGTCAAAATTTTGGCAGAAAGTCTCGTCCCTTTTAGTAATGGGCCCGACATCAATTTAATGTTGAAAATACGACAGTCGAGAATTCTGAGGAATTCAGGGCAGGTCCTGTCAACTTGGTATCAGAGCATTAGGTTCATTTTCCTTCGATTTTCACGCTTCATTGCACTTTGAAACTAACGATTCGATTGTTTTCTTTCATATAGAACTATGTCTCCTCGACATGGTAGGCCGAGAATCCATTTTCCCGAGATGGGGAAACTTGCCCCACCTCCACCTCCACCATCATCACCACCTCTGCCTCCATCTCCATCTCCACCACCTCCACCTGTCGGTGATAGAGCTTGTGAGAACGAGTTCAATTTGCGTCATGTACTCGACCAATTCACCCAAACTGTGACTACGGCTCTGCAAGGGAGGCATAACACTGAAGTTACAAATATCAAAAGGGTCAAGGAGTTGGGAGCTCATGAGTTCTTTGGCAGTGTGGATCCTACTGAAGGTGAGAATTGGCTCACCGACATTGAGAGAGTGTTTGAAGTCCTGCAGCGCCCTTATGGAGATCGAGTTTGGTTGGTTGTCTTCCTCCTAAAAGGGAACGCCTATCATTAGTGGAAGACTGTCCGTAGAAGGTATGTTGATCCTACTTCCGTCACTTGGGCTGAGTTTTAGCGTGTCTTCTACAAGCAGTTCTATCTGCACTCGTACTAGGGTCTATATCCATGCTGGAATACGAGCATAAGTTCAATGAATTGTCCCGGTTTGCTCCTGAACTAATTTCCACTGAAGAAGAGAAATGCAGACGCTTTAAAGAAGGTTTATGGCTGGATATTCAGGCAGTGGTCACTGCCACCACCTATCCTACCATGAAAGCACTGGCTTAAGCAGCGGACAATGTGGCAAATAAGCTCAGTGCGGGTTCAGCTAGGCATCGCATGGACGCATTCGACTTTGGTGGACTGAGTCAAGGTCCATCAAAGAAGGGTGGATCCAACTCCAGTTTAGTAGGCAGTGGATGGTCCAGAGGACGTTGAAGATATAATCCACGTCGTTTCTTTTCATGTCCAAGCCATCAAAACAATTTTTAAAGTTAGCCTGTAACAACAGTAGTCGGGGGTAGGATTTGTTATGTCGGTATTTAGTAATATTGCAACATTTTAAAGTATTCATACGTCCGTTTTATAGAAAAAGCATCATCTAACTCTGTCCAAGGGGCTTCTTTGTATAATTTAAATGACGATTCTTGAAAGAAATAGACGTGGAATTTATTTAAAAAGGTGTTGTTCTCCTACATTGCGACGTGGATAATCATATAAGCGACGGTTTTTCCACATTTGTGTGGCAGATAATTAATTTTACGTCGGTGCCTGTGTGGCAGATAATTAATTTTACGACGTGGATAATCAATATACTTTAAACGTCTATTATGTTGTGTATGCGTCATCTTTTACTTTGAGTGCTGCTATTTTCACCTTCTTGTCCTATTTTTCCACCCACCTTTATTCCTAAAATATTCTCTCATTATTAATTCAACCAAAACCCATAAATTAAGCAAAAAATTAAAATAAAAAAAAATACCTAAACAAACCCAACAACCCCTTCCTATTCTTCCTATTCTTCTTCTTCAATCACAATTCCAAAAAAATCCCGAAAACATGCTAAGCTTCAACCCCCTGCCAATCCAAAACAATAACCCTTTGAGTTATTCAACCTAAAACCATACCAAATAACAAACGAAAGAAAAATAAAGAATCAATTCATTCATAGGGGTGGCTGTCGAGAGAAGGAAGGAGAGAAATAAGGATAAAAAAAAGGAGGGGGAGGGTGGATGGGTGCGTGGGAAAGATAAGACAGATAGTAGGGTGGGTCTGTTGAAGAGAGAGAGAGAGGGGAAGAGAGAAAAGTGGGAGAGAGGAGGTGGGGTTCGGATGTGTGGTGGGGCGGTCGGGGATTTCGTAGGGATGAAGGACTTAGAAGTCATTTTATAAAGGGATAATTTGTCTTTAAAATTTTAAAAATAAGATGGGTGGGGAAATAAGAAAAGGAGGTAGAAATAGTAGCATTCTTTTTAAAATTCTCTGACTTTAGGTATTTGGTAAAACAAGAGAAAGCCGCTTTTTTTTTTTTTCAAAAAGTTAAGTTGCAGAAAAGAAGAAGCCGCAGTCCATAGAGATTTACCACGTTGCCGCGAAGCTGACTTTGGACAAAAAATGTTTAAAAAAATAAAAGAATCTGTGGTGGTTTTGCCAGGAAGGTGGCTCGAAGACTTATTAGAGGACCCCGTCTGCAACCGTTGACTTCACCGTATAACAGACTCTGCCATGAGACTTGTGTCTCTTTCTCTTATGGATTTCAGCAAATCAGACACTAGAGCTGTGAGTTCATACAGGCCCAGGTTAGACTTTGTTAACATCTCTCTTGATTTCTTTTACATTTGTGCATTGAGCGTTCTGGTTTCCTGTTCTTTTCTGATTAATTACTAGATTTTTACCAAGACTCTTGTAATTCTGTGGTGGACTATGGCCTATCAGTAACTTTAAATTATGAGTTCTAGTCTATTTTCTATTATATAAACTCTCCAACTAATGATTTTGCTAACATCTCTTGATTTGTTTACATTTGTGATTTGTGCATGCATTGGGCTCGTTTGGTGTTTAGGGTTGGATTGGATAGGATAACTCTCTATATTTAAAGCATGCTAAACGAATAAATGAAAACTTTTTAAACAATTTGAAGGTAGAAGATATGGATTATTCTTTTTTTTGTCGAATGAAGATGGATTATTTTTGAAGAAAACTTGATCCCCACAAAATTGTAGGATTTCAACACCTTACAATTTATGGTATTTCTCTATTTTTGTGCATTCTCTCCTGTTTCTGATCCATTGTATTGCTGATGATGTTCTTTGGTTAATTCATATTCAGTTTCAAACATTAGGGATAGTTGAAGAGACTGAGAGATTGTACTTTCATGACGTTGCATGTATTTGGAGTATAATTTTGCAGATTAGATCAAACAGCAGCAGGTAAAATAGTTTATATTTTACAAGAATGATTCGGAAAAACTCACCAAATTGCTTGTTCTAATTACATTGCATTCAGCAGATTGCTTTTGAAATTAATCTCATATTGCTTTGACAGCATGTCCTGTTAATTGGTACAGATGAAAAACTAGCTAGTCAGTCTCCCATGGCATTGAGCACCAATAGAGCATCTTCATCATCTGTTCCTAGAGCTATTCAATGGAAGTATGATGTCTTTCTGAGTTTTAGGGGTGAAACCCGCTTGAGTTTCACAGCATTTTTAAATCAGAAACTGAAAGCTCTAGGAATTAGAACTTTCTTGGATGACGCAGATCTTGAAAAGGGAAAATTGATTTCTCCAGAACTGTCCTCAGCAATTGAACAATCAAGGTTAGCCATCATTGTGATCTCTCCAAATTATGCTTCTTCAACATGGTGCCTTAATGAACTTGTGCAAATTCTCGAATGCATGGGAGCAAGAGATGCAATTATACCAATATTTTATGATTTGGAACCCTCTGATGTTCGAAAACAAAAGGAGAGTTTTGAGAAAGCCTTCAGAGACCATGAAAAACGGTTTGACACAAATAAACTGAAAGAGTGGAAAGCTGCTTTAACGAAAGTTGCTAATCTTAAAGGGTGGACTTCGAAGAATAAGTTAGTATTACTTCTTTCTTAACTCCAACCTTTTCATAAATGAAATGTTTGACCCTTTCAATCTGTTGTCATTTATTCATGTTAAATATTGTCATGATGCATTTCCGGATTAACAATTTGGCACATAATGATGCCAAGTGGCGATATAACACAATTTCCTGGACTAGTGGAGGTCCGGAAATACCCTGCAAAACAAATACAAAGGGTAAAGGCACTGCCAAGGACCTTCTGACGCTCAAGTCAGTAACCTTGTAAATATTAGGCTCATAGCTCGGATGGAGAGGTTGTGATTGTGTATGGTCTATTTATGACGAGGGTTTTATAGTGGTGCAGAGGGTCCTTGTTTAGGTAAGAGTTGTAAAAATCTTGCTTTGTTGTTACTCCAAGCTTAGGAGAGAATCTACGCATAGAGGTCTCCTTAAGCATATTGAATCTGCAAATCCCTAACGTTCTTAGCTTTCCATCATATAGAGTCTTCGTCCAATTAAAAGAATTAAAATCAGTAAAAGGAAGAAAAAATTTATTACATAGGTCCATCGGCACCCCTTACTATATGGGGGCAGATGTACCATTCAGGTAGGAAAACCAAAAAAGTGTCGCTTTCTATTCATTGTCTATTTGTGATTCGTATTACTATTATCTTATGCAATTGTTGTTTTCTTTCTTCTTCTAGGTATGAACCACAACTTATTGAAGAAATTGTTCAAAAGGTACAAACCAAAGTACCTCCTGTATTCTGGGAATCAAAAAAGCTGGTTGGCATTGAGCCAAGGTTGGAGCATCTATATTTTCTTTTAGATGTCGAGTCTGATGATGTTCGATTTATAGGGATATGCGGGATGGATGGGATTGGCAAGACAACCATTGCAAAGATAGCTCGCAAAACCCTTGGACATAAATTTGATGTGAGCAGATTTTTCAGTGTTAGGGAGGTTTCTGAAAAACATGGTCCTGTCAATGTACAAAGAAGACTTTGTGAAAGCCTTACAAAGAGAACTTCAGAATATTGGGACGAAAATGATGAGGAATCCACGATGATTAACTTCTTAGTTCAAAAAAAGGTTCTTCTCATTCTTGACGACGTGGATGATATCAGTCAGTTAGAAAACTTGTGTGGAAAGAAAAATTGGTTTGGTCCGGGGAGCAGAATCATTATTACAACTGCAGATGAACAATTGCTACTTAAACATGGTGTGGAGATATTTAAGTTGCTGGAATTGGATCCACGTGAAGCTATTCAACTTTTTAGCTGGAAAGCCTTTGAAAGAGATGATCCGGACAAAGATTTTACAGCTTTATCTCGAAGTTTTGCAGATTATGCCGATGGCATTCCGCTAGCTCTTGAAGCCTTGGGATCGTATTTACATAAAAGAGGTCCACAGGAATGGATCAGTGCATGGGAGAAACTGAATGATGGCCATTCGTTGGACAATGACATTAGCAGAAAGATTATGAAAGTACTTAAAATAAGTTATGATGGATTAGATAAAGAGCAAAAAAATATTTTCCTTGATATCGCATGTTTCTTTGTAGGAAAGTGCAAAGACCAAGTATTTGAAATATTAGACAGTTGTGGCTTTCATTTAGATATTGGCATAAAGGTTCTTGTTGAGAAGTCTCTGATAATAATTTCTGATAACATGGTGCTGATGCATGATTTGTTTCAAGCAATGGCTCAGGGGATTGTAGTTCAAGAATCTCAACATCCTGGTGAGCGTAGCAGGTTGTGGCTTTCTAAGGACATCTATCCAGTTTTGAGGAATAGTACGGTAAGAGTTTACATGGATACATGAAACATTGATGAATGCAAACAGACTAGTTACTCTAAAATTGATTTCCTTCTATAGTGACATGTGAAGATGACTTATACTTTATGATATTATTGAATTCACGTGTTCTTATTTTACATTATCAGGGGACTAAATCAGTTGAAGGCATTGTCCTACCCTTTCCTGAATCAAAAGATGCAAAATGTGATCCTCAAGCATTTTCCCAGATGTCTAACCTCAGATTACTCAAAATTCATAATGTGCGCCTTCCCCGAGGACTCACATGTCTTTCTCATTCATTGAGATTTCTTAAATGGAGAGGTTATCCTGAAAAGTCCCTTCCATCAGATTTCGAACCCAATGGGCTTGTTAAACTCAGCATGTGTCATAGTAGCATTGAACAACTTTGGGATGAAGAAGAGGTATAAGTCTACTGCAACTATAACATAACCCTTCTAAAGGGGGGGATCCCACTCCACTATAGCGTGATCTATATGTGATCCATATCGATGTGCAATCGAATCCGTATTATCAATAACATGGATGACATATTGGTTGTCTGATATGGGGTCGATATGGATTCCATTACATTGTAACTTGAAGGGGATCCCCCTTATGAAGGGCACTATATATATATATATATACTATAAATTTTTCTGAATCTTATTACTATATGCATTTCTTGTAAATGTTCCAGACTTTTGAAAAGTTGAAAGTCATCAAACTTTGTCATTCACTCCACTTGACAAGAACTCCGAATTGCTATGGGGTCCTAAATCTTGAGAGATTAGATCTTGAGGGATGTGAAAGTCTTGTTGTCATTCACCCATCCATAGGAGTTCTCAAAAAGCTTACTTTCTTGAATCTTAAAGACTGCAAAAGGCTGGAGAGTCTTCCAGATAAGATTGCAATGGAAAGCCTTGAAAGTTTTGTTCTTTCTGGTTGCTCAAGTGTTGAAAAAATTCCTGAATTCGTGAGACCTATGGAGCATTTAACGAAGATTTCTTTAGATGGGACTGCTATTAAAAGTATACCACCATCAATTGGATATCTGACTAGCCTTTCTTCATTGGATTTGAGAGATTGCATACATCTAAGTTGTCTTCCAAGTACCATTGGCAACTTGAAGTCCCTTAAAAATTTGTATGTGTCTGGATGTATAAACCTTGCCGAACTGCCAGAAAGCTTTGGGGAGCTAGAGTCCTTGGAGGAGATTGTTACAAGTGGAACTTCCATAAAAAAATGGCCATCTTCCAGTGTCCCAAAAAACCTTAAATCGATGACTTCTCATGGTGGACCATCAGAACAAACATGCGTTATGCCAATGAAGAGCCATCATCCTTGTAGTTCGTTCTTGCCTCCTCTCTCAAGGGTCCCTGCTTTAGTACAATTGGATATAAGTGGTAGAAATCTTTCTGAAGGAGAGTTTCCCGTTGACATTGGCTGCTTATCCTTTTTAGTATCATTGAACTTAAGTGGGAACAATTTTCTTAGCCTTCCGAAAGAAATTAGCCAACTTAATACGCTTGAGAACTTAAACTTGAGTGGTTGCAAGAAGCTTCAACATGTTCCGGTCCTTTCGTCGGATAAAAATTTAGAAGTAATTGCAGATGGTTGTACTGCGCTGAAAATGCTGCAGTGTCCATCAAATTTGGACAGATTGAAGTGGTCCTGTTTCAATTTCATCAACTGCATTGGATTGGTTGACCACGAAATACCATTAACTATGCTCAAAAGATACCTCAAGGTTAGCTCTCTCTCTCTCTCTCTCTCTCTCTCTCTCATTGTTTGACATTACAGTTTACATACTGTACAGGTAGCACATTGTCCAGGAGATAGATATGAAATTGTAATTCCTGGAAGTAAAATACCTTCGTGGTTCTGCCGTCAAAGAGTGGGTTCTTCAGTAAGTTTACCTCTGAATTTGCATAAACAAAAGTGGATGGGATATGCTTTGTGTGCCCGTTTTCAAGTATTAAAGAGTGGATGGCAACTCGTTTGTGTTTTGAAAGTCAATGGAAAACAAGAGTACCCTGTGCCTCTATTTGCAGCTAATGTCACACCCTTGTCAAATCATCTTTGGTTCTTCTATGTGTCTCGTGATCTAAGCTTTGGTACAAATTCGCGAACCAGTTATGATCAGTTAACCTTTTCATTTGAAAGCTCAACCCGCAGCTTGGTGAAGAGGTGTGGTGTCCGTTTGGTATACGAGGAAGATCTGCAAGATTTCAGCAAAATAGTTGCTCAATCCAGCGTTAGCATTTCCCCAGAGGAGGAGGCTGTTGATGACCTTCATTGTGATGGCACGTCCAGATCTGTACAAAGTGGGACTATCAAGCGGAGCTATAAAGACAATGATGGGGAGGAACCTGCCGCAAGTGGTAGTTTTGATGAGGTATCAGACTTAAAAAGATCCAAAAACAGATGATTTGTTTGGAACTGCATTGCCGGTCTAATGCTTGAAGGGTGGCAGTTTAGTTTTATAATTTTGTCTCAATTGAAACCTGTTTGTGTTGGCCAGTAGATGTTTTCAGATTTGCTTATGACCGTTTGTATTTTCACCCAGAATTTATGAATTCTATAGTAAATTTGGCTTACACTCTTCAAATTCAATTTGCCATACCTAAAACCCTTCACTTTTTGTTCCTATAAATAATACCCAATTTGTATAAGTAAAAACCCATGACTAGGATCCAACTCAGCAAGTTATCTAATTAAGCATAAAATCTGATTTATTGTACTTTTCAGATTCCAAAAATACCCCCAACTAAGCCATTATTGCATTTTGTATATCAATGTAGGAATCAATATGGAAACAGTTTTTAATTGGATTGTATATAATGACAGATGTTGAATTTGGAAAAATCTTCAAATGGCTGTAATGGATGTAGGAATTAATTTTGAAACATTTTTAAAAAAATTTAACAATAAATTCAAATTTAGGTAATCGGTTTGTTTAATAAAATGTTTATGTTATTTTCTTTTTATGAATTATACATGACTAATAATCCACTTTATAATTGTTTATGAATAAAACTGTACATACTAATTATGTTGAAAAAATAATGTAACTATTACTTGTTTGTTTTATGAAAAACATAATTTACCTAGAATGAAAAGTGTACATAATTATCTATTCCAAATAATGTACCTATACACATTTATAGGTATATTGTAAAATAATTTACTTGTGGGTAAATAATGTACCTATATTTTATATAAATTATTGTGAAACTATTTTTAATTATGAAAAATATACGCAATTACAAAGTAACTGACTTTGCTTCTTTTTTTTTGGTAAATAATATACCTATATTTTATATGTATATATTTATATTATATTTTTCATAGGTACATTATTGGATATGTAATTTACAGATTTTTTGTTTGTTTGTAATTTTAGGGGGCGAGATGTGAGAGGGAATGACAACTAAAAGAAATGGGGTGATTGATATGCTATTAATAGGGAGTATATTAATTACAATTATGGCAGTTAAAGAAATATTTGAAATAAATTATAAATAAAATATGAAGTTTAGTGGCAATGGTGTAAAAACATAGAAATACTACGACCTCTTATATCCTACTAGTCATTTAAATTTGAAATTGGGTTTTACACATAGATTTATAGAGTGATGGGTATATGTCTAGGAAATAGAAAATGTAGGGATCTATATTGAACAATCTTATGTAGCTTTTACTATATTAAAAAAAGTGAGATTTTAAAATTAATATTTGTGTGATCATATTCATAATACCATGTCGTCCAAGTACTGTCTAAACACTAGACGGTAAGTTCATTTTTGCTCATCGACTTTATTCTGGGATATGGGCAAGTGCATTGACTACTATCTTTGCCTTTTTTAACAGAAAAATAAGGCACTCAGGAAGGTCTCCGAGTGGTGTTAACAAATTCAAAAGTAAACAATTAGAAGTTGATTGCAAACTCTGATTGTTCTTCCATTGACTAAGGAAATAGGAAAACTACATATTGTCAGGCGGCTGCATGATGAAGGCTACATCTAGCAGAAATCTACATAATGCAGAAATACAAAAGTCCCAAAAACCTATTATGCTGTACAATTTTCTAAATGTTGGAACACAATTTGTGTATTAAATTTCAAGGAGATGAACACCATGAGCAACATTGATATTATCTCCAATTTAAACTCCTACAGACCAGTAAGTGTGAGATTTGATCATAAAATGTCTCTTAGGGCCTCAGTGTTAGTAGTAGTGGAACCACTAATTATATATTGTATTATTTTGTCAAGTTTCTTATGTGTGATTTTACATTTTTCAACACGCCCCCTCATGTGAGATCACCACATAGTGGGCCATACATGCAACCAATTCCATATTGGAGTCAATCATTCAAGTTTAACACGTGAATACCACACATTGGGTAAGGGTTAAGTGTAAACAATCAATCCCAACACATGAACAACACATTGGGTAAGAAGTAAGGGTAAAGACTTAGTCAATTTGCCCGCTCTGAAACCATGTGAAAGTTTAGATAGACGGACCAACAACCCACTACTAGCAACACCAATATTGTCTCCAATTTAACCACCTATATAGCCCAGTAGATGTGGGGTTGATCACTAAAGGCATTTGTGCTATTAGTAGTTGAACCATTCATTATATATTATATTATCATAGGGCATGTTGATGCCCTTGATTTAGTGCATGTTGGAGTCTAACAGTCAGAATTCAAAATTATTTAAATGTTTTTTTTTTCATTTCTAACTCCACAAATCAATGAGATAATATATATTATCATTTTTAATAGCATTGAAAAAAACACTGACCCAAATTTAAATCTAAAAATCAAAACAATAGTTTTAATTTATCTACAGATTCAAAATGCTAATGGAGTATAGATCAGTTGGTTGAGCTTTTCCAATCATGTCGCAGAGGTTTGAAACCCATTGGCACCAAACAAATATTTGTGTAAACCTCCCTCCCCTAATCACTTGTACTAAAACATATATATATATCCGGATCCGTGGCACCGTAAGTTTTGCCACAATTTTTGGGCCATTAGATTACTCCACTTTTAATGGTTGAGATTAAAAATGACATGGCAAAATAATAATTTCCTCTTTAATTAATATTTATACATTGGGATTAAAATTCTGATACCACATACAAACACTATTTTCAAACATTCAGATACATAATGGATACCTACTAACACTATTTTTAACATATAAAGATACAAAACTAATACACTATTTTCAACTCATTAAGATGCATAATTTTCACATACAAACGCTATTTTCAACACATTCACACACAGAACTGATACCTACCAACACTATTTTCAACACATTAACATACAGAATTGATACCTACTATAAGATGCATTGATCCTTCTGCATCCCAAATCATCTCATATTCATAGTTAAGATTCAATTTTCTCTTATGTGTTCTACTTCTAATGGTACTTATTCTTTGTTTTCCAAACCCCATTAAATCCTTAAAATTATGCCATACACTCACACCACTAGATGCGCAAAGCAAGATTACAATGACCAACACATGAAGGTTCCTGGAATTTTAAGAAAAGAGAACAAGCAAGCACAATGCAAAAAAAAAAGGAACAACGAACAGCTGTGAATCTACACTTCAACAAATTACAACAATAAATTGCGATAAAAAGAAAACCCAACTTTTGGAAAAAGTAAATAATATTTAAACCGCATAAATACTTTAAAAATTAGTTACTATGCTTCAACAAATTACTAGAAACTAGAAAAAGTCGCAAAAAAACAACTGAAGCCAATTTATATTTGCAAACACAACTACTACAGATCCTACACCAGAGACAGACTACTCTTACCTAGAAAATCAATGCCCTAAAATCCTAAACATTATTTAAACATTAAGTGATTTAAACATTAACTGAATGCAATATAACATGCAAACTTTAATATTAATGAAAGAGAGGAAATTCGAGAGAAACGTACTTTCTCAGACGTTCAAATGAGAAATATTAGATGAGGGAGGAAGCGAAAGAGAAAGAGTACACCAGGGAGTTTCTGCGACAAGAGAAATACACAAATTTATGTATGGTAGGTATTTTGGGTGTTTAGGGTTGATTCATAAATTCATAAATTCATCATTTCATCAATTCATTGACAAGAAAGGCGCGGCTGCCCACTGTCAGGAAGAAGAAAGGCACATTTTTTCGAAGAAGGCGTGACTTGACACTTTGGCTAAGGGGAACTACAGCCTACCCGTTCTTACCATAAGCTTGCTTTTTCTCTTTAGCCGTTCAGAAAATTTGGATAGCTGGATTTGGTTCTCATATAATGTTTGCACATAAGCGTTCTCACTAGATAACCGCCCTTTCTGATATGGATTCCTCGCTCATTGGCTAATTGATAACAAATGTCAAAGGCTCGAAACAGATTATTGGGTTGTCAAAATATTTGCCCATTAGTTCTCAAAAGCCCAAAATATTTAATGGGTGATCCAAATAATTACTCATTAAATTTACAGAGGCCCAAATTTCCTATTATATGGTTAATGGATTAATTTTAAAATTCCTTATAGCCATATTTGGGTCCAAGTGAAATGTCAATTTTAAAAAATTAGTGGGTTAATCAAAATTGCTCATTATTTTTCTTGGACATTGACAATAAGAAAAATGGTACAAAACCATACAATTTTTCTCATGGGTCATACCCATGCTAATTTCAACGAAATTAAATTCAAATTTCTCAAACAGAAAATTCTCAATTAGTGGGCCACACTTACCCATTAATTTCCAATTTTTCTCATGGGTCATCTACCCATGCAAATTTCAATGAGATTAAATTCAAATCTCTCAAACACAAATTCTCAATTAGTGGGCCACACTTACCCATTAATTTTCAATTTTTTCCATAGGTCATATACCTATGAAAATCTTCAAATTGTCTCAAAGACACAAATTCTAAATTATTGGGCCACACTTACCCATTAATTTCTAAATTTCCTAACTACGTTGGTTTGATCCCATCAAGGGTACCTAGGCAGTCTAGCATCTTAATAGACGCAACTGCAACCAAATTTGAATCTCTGGTTACGGTGGTCATCCCTTAAAATAAGATATTGTAATTAAGAGACACTGCATCTTGAATGGATCAAACCTAAAATAATAAAACTCCATTATTTAATTAGTGATGGTAAAATTATAGGGAAATTGGCGGCTTTACCCCTGGCTCACCTAATTTATTCACTAATATCCTTACTTTGAAACCCAATCACAAATGCCCTAATAAAAACTCCTTATTGATAGCCTATTGCCCATCTTTCACTTTTGTTTTATCGTTCTGAGCTCTCTCAAATCCTCTTTCACATTTTCTCGATCTCATTCACTCAGCCCTCCTCTCCTCTCTTCTCTCTTTCTTGCTCGCACCCACATCGACGATAGCCACTGTCACCTGCTCAGAAACCCTAACCCACATCGGCAACGAAGACCTTTCCACCTCCATATTTCACTCTCTGTCACCTCTTTTGACCTCCATGCCTAGAGATGGTGTCTCAGGTAGACAGCTTGGTTTTTCTCCTACACATTTGGTTTTTCTTCTCCTTGTTTCAATTTCATATATGGGTTTAGATTTTTGGTGCTTGATGTGAGTTTAAGTCCCTCCAAGTCAAATTTGGGTGAGATTGTATAGAAATTTGTTGAAATATAATTGTGGGTTTAATTTAAAATTTTACTCTCTTTGTTTACCATTAATATTTTTAGGTTGTATAGAGAACGTTATTTCAGTGGAATTATACAAGAACTTTTTGAACCAAAATTTTGAGATTGTGCAACAAATATTTCTCAATTTGTCTTAAGGAATATTATGCTTGAAGCTTGTCCAATCTACAGTGATTTTGAAGATTTTCTTTTGCATATTGAATTTAATTACTGAGTTAGGTTTTTATTCTGACGAAAAACAATTGAAGAAACACAATTATTTGGTTCAATGATTTAAATTTGTTTGTTCTGTTTTGGGATGTGATTTTTTGAATGAACTACATAAATTGATTATGTCTTGAGGTGGAGGATATCTCCAAAAGTGACTGTGGAGTTTGTAAGTTTTATGAGGATGCCAATATTTTAATAGAAGTTTGATATTGTAAAGTTGGCATATGTTGGATCTTGGTTTTCTCTATTTTTCGTTATTCAATCTTGGATATGTTTTTGGTGCAGTCTATAGTCCTCAAGGTTGGTATCATGCCAAGATTGTGTTGGTGCCGTGAAAAGGGTTCTTGAAAAATTTGAAGGTTTGACAGCTCTTGCATTTATCTAGTTCCATTATCTTGCTCTTCTTCTTCTCTGAGACTGTGCTTCTTTAACTGTTTGAACAATGTGAAGTGCACTATTGATGATTTCCTAATTTGTATTTTTATTCACCTGCCAAGACACACATTCACTTCACCCATGTTGATAATAACTTTTATATTGCAATTGAGTAGTACAAAATCGTGTGCATGAATGTGAACTTTAATTTTGCAATGGTACTATCTTGTGAAAGTTTGTTATATGAAGAATTGGGTCATTTAAAAAGGCCAACAATCTGTATGAAGATAGGATTCTTGAAGGATGTCCTTCACTGGAGAAATCACAGATAGATTTCTCAACGGTATATATAACTCAGCAAACTTCAAGCTCAGCTCTTAAATGATGTATATCATAATTTTTTTTTCTTTCTTCTATTAAAAAATGTATATCATAATGTTGTTTTACATTTATCCACTCAATTTGTTGTAGTGCATGTAAATGTATTTGTATGATACTTGTGGTGCATGTAAATATGTCTAAACTTGTTTTTGGTATCGGTTTCTGAATCTGTTTTGGTCAGTTGTGATTGAATGTTATGTTTTTGTTTCCATTGTGATTGAATGATTTGCTTCTAATATGTATTTTTTATTCGTTTTATACAAATGGAAGATTGTATTGTTTCAAGTGGCAGAATTCTCTTGGGGAGGAAATTGCTAACTTTCAACTTAAATTCGGTTCTAAGAGGAGATGTCTTCGAATTTTTCTAATGTGTTAAAATTCCTGACCAAGAGGAGATGTAAATTTTTTTTTTTTGCCACTTTCTTATGTATATCTTAAGATGTAATGAGATAACATTGTTAGTTCATCAATTTATGAAAGTCAAGTTAGAAGGAAATTTGTCAATCTCTAGTTTCCATAGTTTTATCGTTCCCCTTGCAAAGAAGAAAAAAATACAAATGTAACCAAATTAGTGATTTAATTGGCAAATGCCATGATAGATATGTATTGCATATGTATTGCACATGTATATCCCTTTATTACTTGTGTATTGCCATTATATAGCCTTTTATTGCTTGTGTATTGCTATTGTATTGCCCCCGTATATTTTTTTTTTCTTCAAATCTGTGTTGGAATAAATTTATAGGGGGAGTATGGAGTTTGTGTATTGCCATTGTATAGCCTTTTATTGCTTGTATATTGCTACTGTATTGCCCCCATATATCTTTTTTTTTTCAAGTATGTGTTGGAATAAATTTATAGGAGTCTGTGTATTACTATTGTATAGCCCTTTATTGCTTGTATATTGCTAGTGTATTGCCCCCGTATAAATTTTCTTTCTTCAAGTCTGTGTAGGAATAAATTTATAGGGGGAGGATGGAGTTTGTGTATTGCCATTGTATAGCATTTTATTGTTTGTGTATTGCTACTGTATTGCCCCTGTATATCTTCTATTTTCAAGTCTGTTTTAAAATAAATTTATAGGAGGAGTATGTGTATTGCTAATGTATAACCCTTTATTGCTTGTATATTGCTAGTGTATTGCCATCATATATCCTCTCTTTTTTCAAGTCTGTATTGTAGGTATGAAGATGGGGATGGGGATGAGAATGACATACCCACCCTCGATTCAACCCACTAAATCAGAAAATTTGAATACACAATATAGGCCCAAAAATGACATATTTGAACAACAATGTAGCACATAGAATAGCAAATACATACCAAATTATGAAAATTTAATAGAATTCATAATCCACAGAACACTAAACCCAATACAAATTGAATTCAAATTCACACTCCATAACAAACCAACACAATTCATAATGTATGTCCAACATTAGGTAGCGGAACATTTTTTTTACAGGTGCTTTTATTGTGGCCTATGCCACTACACCTTGAGCATTTTCTCCTTATGATATCCTCTCCTTGCGAGGGAATCCTAGCTTCTTTCGTCGGCTTGGCATGACCTTTGCATCGGGAGGACGCACAACTCTACCTTGGACATCTTCAGGAATAACCCACAGCTCTTGAGGCTGTATCGGGTAGATGGTATCTGAATAAGCATCCAACCATGTACTTCGAGTGTAATAACGAGAAGCCATGGAGTATACATTTAGTTTCAAGAAACGGCATACTACAACTACATGCTTGCAAGGTAGTTGCTCAAGCTGAAACTTCCTACAACTACAAGTGTTATTCGTCAAATGTACGTGACCGTCCATATTACCGTCCACGACATTATACTCTACGTGACTCAGTTTCACAACATTCATCCTTGAAGCACATTCCAACTTGCATCTTAGCTTCTTCTCTCCAAAGTCAGGGCACAATGTTGATGTACATTTCAAAGCAAAATCACGATGTTTACTGAACCATTTCACAAGTAGATTGATGATTTCATCAATCAAATGCACCACGACTGGTAGCATCCTTGCGAACCAAAGGACTGAGTTGATTGACTTCGCAATATTTTTTGTCATTACATTGTATCGACGTCCATCTATGTGAGCTCTAGACCACTTGTGTAATCCTGCACTTTCAAGATATTGAGCAACCTCATCATTTCCCTTGATCTTGCGAAAATGACGATCAAATTCAGCGATGCCATAAGATTTCGCAGCTTGTTCAAAGTATAGCAATAATTTATCACGTCTTTTTAAATTGAAAGTGCGTTTTTTCCATGTTACGCCATTGGAAAAACGTTGTGCCACATATTCTCTATGCTAATATTTAGATAAAAAATAATCACAAGATTTGGACACTCACCAATGCCTTCATGAAGCTTACTGAAAAACCAATACCATGATGCATCAGTCTCTAAATCCCCAATTCCAAAAGCAAGAGGATATATATTTCGATTTCCGTCAAATGTATTGGCAACAAAGAGGACACCGTTATACTTACATTTTAAATGTGTGGCATCCACATCAATGATTGGCCGCATCGAAGATTGAAACCCTCTAATACATGCCCCAACAGCCATCAAAAAATAAAAAAAGTGATTGTTCTCATCGGTGTGGATGTATGTCTTTGTGCCAGAATTCACACGCTCTAATTCGTGACAATAAGATGGAAGGAGAGAATATGCCTCCGCTACTGAACCTCTAATGGACATTAGAGCTAATCCCTTGATCTCCAAGCTTTGTGATAATTAATGGTGACACCAAAGTTTTGTTTCACATATCTGATTATATCACTTGGTGTGTATATTGTGCGAGAATCTTTCAACTTCCGCTTCACTGCATTACCAACGAGTTTAGCACTTGCGTGGCGATGCTTGTCATGTATTAAACTCATATCACATATATGGACCGGATTATATTTCACAATCATGAACTTTTTTTCTCCATAACTAGATGCACGAAGCTGCCATGGGCATGGACCTTGAGAACAAACCACAACCAATCGACTCTTGCAAGACTGCTTCACCTTAAATACAAAGTGACCTCTCACTGCCACCAATTGTAACTTGTTGGATAGGGGTTCCTTACTAGAGAAAATTTTCCAAACTTCCAATTTTGGATCCCAATTATTCCGTGAATATGCGCTTTCAATATCTTCTTCTTCTTCATCATTTACAATACCCAAATTGTGCACGTTTTGTTCACCCATTTGCCTCCAATTATGTCGAATAGAAAGTTCAGATGTTGTTCTGAAACCCACCACACCCACTTGTGAAAATGTCTCCAAATGGGCCAAAATAGGAGGGGTTGAGTGCATTTGCAAGCCATTCATTTCCGTACCATTATCACCACTATGCAGCCCCTCCACCCCTGTAAAATCAATCATGTCTAAATATTCTGTTCCAAAATCACCATGTACATCACCATTGCTTTCAACTATGGCATTTGAAGAACAGGCCATCCGACTCATATCTGTCGTGATATGCATACGATCACCTACGACATTTGTCACTCCTCTGTCTTCTATGCTCGCCAGTAAAAGAGCCACTTTCGAAGAAATATTACGTCACAAATGTACTTGATAAAAAATTTAACATCATCATTGTCCTCAATCTTGATATGCCTACACTCATTCGAGGATATTGAAACTGAGAAGTTTAAACAAATCTTGTCTTCCCTGTTGTCTGTATTAACAATCTTATCCACCCGTTCCAAAAGCTCACTAAACGTTATGTTTCACGAAACTATTATGCCTTTTGAGTCACCCCCTTCATATGTGCACATCTTCTTTGAGGTTATCCATTTTCCATTGTAGCAAACCAAAATTGCAATTGTGTCCATTTCTGACCATCATAAAATTTCCTTTTGTTAACACATGTTAAGCTACCAATAAAAAATCTATCAACTAGTGGATAAACCATTAGATAAAACATCAATTAAACATCAATAACCAACAATTTTAAAACATCAGTATTATGCAAAGTGAAATGGTTCAGGTAGCATAGCTGTGCTTCAAGCTCCAGTAAGGGAGGCATGTATCACGAACTTTTAAAGTTAAATCCAACCCAAAGCCATTAACCTAGGGTATCCTATTACTAACTAACTACTTACAAATTGCCAAACCTTGACTGTCCAAGATTGTTTCATATCGAATATCATACCACCCAAAAGAGTGAATACATTACTTTTAAGGAGATCTGCAAGTCCAAGTCTCAATCACAAAACAATGTATACATCATTTCAAAGACAAATCATAAGCACAAAACCATGTATCCAAGTCCAAGAGCTTAACAACCACATGAAATAGTTGGTAAATTTCATTCAATCACAGAACAACAAGCCACAACATAAACCCATTAATATCTCATTCAAAACAGTGAAAGCAATCACCCAATAATCTCAATCAATCAAAGAAACCCAAAACAAAAACAAAACAAAAACAAAAACAAAAACAA